GTTGACTTACAACATTCCGGATGTTAAGTACCTCTGGCTGTGAGAACACACTCCGTCTGGCCCCTCCGCTTTTGCAAGCCAGACTCGGGGGCTCTGTCTTGCCGGGCGGGCTGCCCCTCCACCGCCCCGGCTCCCTCCCACCAGTCCATGTAGCGTGCACTGCTTCTCTGCCCTTCCTACCCTGTTCTGTGGGCCTCTTGTCTACGCTTGGCTCCGGAGAGTCCATTCTGCTAGTCTTCTGGCGGTTTTCTGGGTTATTTAGGCAGATTTGGGTGGAATCTAAGTGGTCAGCAGGACACGGTGAGCCCAGTGTCCTCCTATGCTGCCATCTTCCCAATACGTTCTTTCTAGCATGTGGCCCACTAATGTTTATTTTTGAGAGACCGAGTGTGAGCAGGGGAGGGGCAGAGAGAGAGGAAGACACAGAATCTGAAGCAGGCTCCAGGCTCTGAGCTGTCAGCACAGAGCCCAGTGTGGGGCTGGAACCCTTGAACTGAGAGATCACGACCTGAGCCAGTCAGATGCTTAACTGACTGAGCCACCCAGGTGCCCCATGTTTAATTTTTTTTTTAATGTTCGTTTTTGAGAGAGAGTGGGGCAGGGGCAGAGAGAGGGAGACAGTCCCAAGCAGGCTCTGTGCTGTCAGTGCAGGGGCTCAATCTCGTGAACTATGAGATTATGACCTGAGCGAAAATCAAGAACCAGATGCTTAACTGACTGAGCAAACCAGGTGCCCCTAGAGTTTGATTTTAAAAGTTGTTTTTCTCTTGGCAGGTTGCTAAACAGCTTAAAGAACAGCAAATGGTTATGAGGGGCCACAGAGATACCTCTATGGTTCATGAGCTCAACAGGTAAGGTCATGAAATTTAACCCTTGATGTGTGTGTACATGTGTGTGTACATACATATGTACCTGGCTTTTCAGTCTTTAATTTATTGTCAAATGTTGTCCTGTTTAAATATGAAGCATTTTTCTTCGACTTCACACAGAAGAACCAAAATTTAACACAATACTGAATTGTTCTCCACATCAAAATTGACATCTAAATGATTTAAGTAAAATTGTGTTTCCTTCAGTCCTCAGCCCAGTGGTAAAATGTTCTTGATTGGAAGTCCTTGTCTGGCTGCACATAAAATCACCTGGGAGCTTTTAAAAGGCACTGATATTCAACCTCTAGGAATTATGATTTATTTGGCCCAAGGTGGATCCCATACATTCGTTTATTTATTTACTTTTTTTGAGAGAGAGAGCACGCATGGGCATGTGCTCGCCAATAGGCTCCACCCTTAGTGCGGAGCCCGACATGGGGCTTGATCCCACAAATGTGAGGTCCTGACCTGAGCTGCAACAGAGTCAGAGGTTTATCCGACTGAGCCACCCAGGTGCCCCTTCTTTTCTTTTTTTGCGTTAGTTTATTTTTTGATAACAGCTTTATTGGGCTGTAATTCACATACTGTGTAATTCACTCATTTGAAGTGTATGGTGTAGTGGTTTTTTTTGTTTTTAGTATATTCAGAGTGTGGAATCATTACAGTGTAATTATAAAAACACATTTGTCACCAGGGCAGCTGGCTGGCTCAGTTGGAGGAGCATGTGACTCTTGATCTCGGGATCATGAGTTCACGCCCCACATTGGCTATAAAGCTTACTTTTTAAACTTAAAACAATTTTTTTTTTCATCACCAATAAAGAAATTTTGCACCTGTTGGCTATTCCCATTCACTGCACCCTCCCACGCCCCAGCCCACTTTTTACTTTTGATCTCTACAGATTTGCCTATTCTGGACATTTCCTATAAGTGGAATTGTGATCTTTTGTAAAGTTTTCATTTAGCATAATGTTTTCAGGATTCATCCATTATTTGTGAATAATATTCCATTATATGGGTGTATAGTACCACGTTTTATCTGTTCATCGGTTGATGGAGATTTTGGTTGCTTTCGGTGTTTTGACTATCATGAATAATGCTGTTCAGAACATACTTGTACATGTTTTGTGTGGACATATGTTTTCCTTCTTGTAGGAGTGGGATCGTTGGGTCCTAACAATTCTGTGTTTAGTATCGAGGAACTGCCAGAGTGTTTCCAGAGCGGCTGACTGCTCTCCATCCCACCAGCAGTGGGTGACGCTTCCAGTCGTTGCACGCATTTGCTAGCACCGGTTCTTGCTTTTTGATTCTAGCCATCTAGTGGGCATGCAGTGGTAGCTCATTGTGGTTTTGATTTGCTTTTTCCTGATGAGTAATGATGTGGAGTGTCTTTTCATGTGTTTAATCAGCCATTTGTGTACCTTCTTTGGAGAAGTGTCTATTCACATCTTTTGCTTATGTTTAACTGGGTTGTCTTTTTGTTACAGAGTTGTAAAATTTTTGAGTTTATTTAGAGAAAGGGAGAGAGAGCGAGCGCACGCGCGCACATGCACTTGAGCTGGGGAGGGATAGAAAGGGGGGGCGGAGAATCCCACGCAGGCTCTGCGTTTGAACTCATGAACTGTGAGATCATGGCCTGAATTGAAATCAAGAGTTGAACTTAACTGACTGAACTACTGAGGCGCCCTGAGTTGTAAGATTTTTTTATGACAATATCCTGGATATGGCTCCTCTTTGGCGTATGATTTATAAATAATTTGCTGCCATTCTGTGGGTTGTCTTTTCACTTTCTTGGTGTCCTTTGCACGAGTTTTTAATTTTGACAACGTTCAGTTTCTCTTGGTTGCGTTGTGCTGGTCTTGGTGTTTATCTAAGAAACCATTGCCTAACCCAGGGTCACAAAGATTTATTTTCCATTAGGAGTCTCGGCTCTAACATTCAGGTCTGTGGTCCACTTTGAGCTAATTTTTTTTGTGTTTGGTGTGATAGGGGTCCAGATTTCTTTTTGTGCGTGTGGATATCCAGTTGTTCCAGAACTATTTATTGAACAGGCATTTGTATTTTTATGTAATTTTTTTTATTTATCTAGAATGTAGATCGCAGAGAGTAGTATAAGGAACCTCCGGGTATTCAACTGTATCCAGCTTCAGTAGTTAAGCATCTTTCTGCCATTCCTGTTCATCGACCATCTCCCCAGTCTTTTGTTTTTCCTTTCTGGAATATTTTAAATATCATCCAAGTATATTAAACAACTCTCCAGGTGATTCTAATGCGCAGCCAAGGTTGAATTACCGTAAAGAGGGTCCTCCACATCTTGTCCCATAAATTTGTTACTTAGAAAGCATTTTGAAGTTTACTCTTCATCTACAAGAGGGAGCTAAAGATGACCTAAAGTACTAAATGTTTTAATGCGCAGATCTGTTGAGGATCCTAACCTGCCATAAAAATCACGTATTGTTTTTCTCGGCTGTTTACTGGTTTCTGGAAGTCGGGGTCACATCGTTACCTTAATGGCAAAGTTTTCAACACGTAACTACTGTGCACAACGGGTCATTCCGTGCTGGAGTTCACGACAGGCTTGTTTAACGATGCGTCAGTGTGTTCTTTCTGACTGTTGCACCTTTTCCTGTTTTGCTGCACCACCTGACCCAGGGTTTTGTCTTGCAGGTACATCCCCACAGCAGCTGCGTTTGGGGGCTTGTGCATCGGAGCCCTGTCGGTGTTGGCCGACTTCCTTGGGGCCATCGGCTCTGGCACTGGGATTCTGCTCGCAGTCACTATTATTTATCAGTATTTTGAAATTTTTGTCAAGGAGCAGGCTGAAGTTGGCGGGATGGGTGCTTTGTTTTTCTAAGTGTTCCAGTATTTCTTGTGTGTGTGAAAGGGAAAATAATCTTGACACGTTGTTTCTGTCAAATGCTGGTTCCCCTTTTCTCCCCTCACACTTTGTTTTCAAGTGCTGACTGTCCCATTTGTGAAATGGGCACTGAGCTAAGCCTGTGTGCAGCGTTAGTACCAGCTGCCTTAAAACTAAAGTTTACATTATTCGTTAAAAAATGTACTCGTAGTGTTGCCCGTGATGCTGGAAACCAATGTGCCCGCCTTGCCGTGTTCAGTTGTGACGGTGAGATGGTGACGTGGATCAGTTTTGCACACATTCAAAACACTCGATATTCCCCCCACTTGTTTAAAAATAAATGTAGTTCAAATTGCCACTTTCCAGTATTTTTGAGCTTATTTAATGAGTTCTGGAACATTTATATCTAATCTGTATTTTAGATATAATTAACTTTTTATACTTTTTTAACTCATAGTATCCACGTTCCCACCCTCCCTCTCCGTCCACCGCCCCTTCTTGTCCCCTCTCAAAGCTGCCACTCAGCCGACTGGCAGAATCAGGCTTCGGTTACAGCTGTTCCTAGAAACAACCGCTTGTGAGGACTCTTGCTGATTTTCATTCCTTTCTTCCCAGTGACAGCAGTCGGTGCTGTTTGACTGTATTGGCTATGCCTTCGAATTCCAACCCATCACTTGAGAATATGCTTTCAAGATACAATGCCCCATTTTTTTTTTTAAACCCCTCAAGCAAAGATCTAATTCTCAAGCAATGTCTGTAGTTCAGTGGGGGTGAACATTATGAGTAATTCATGCTAGGAATTTGTGTATGTTGTTGTTCTTTACAGCAGCAACATGAGTGTAAACAGTAGAAAATAAACCTTTATTTAATAAAACTGTTTCAGTTGTGTTGGAAAAATAAAATCAGATATTAAACGATTTCTGAGATTATTTGTATAGGTTCATCGTAGTCATCTCACCCATCCTGAGATGTCTGTTGTAAGAGGTCAAATGTAATTAGTATTTAATCCTAAAATGGTTGAGGAACACTGACCAACTTAAAGGTGCTCAGTTACGTGACTGATACTACAAAGGATAGGAAAACGGTGTCAGATTAACATCCCAGCCTCCATTTGAAATAACATAGCTCTTTATAAATATGTGCTCTGTTGTCCAGAAAGAGATCAAACTTAATTTTTGAAAGATCCTTTTCAGAAGTAAGATTTTCTCGCTGTTTATTTAGTAAGTGCAGGAAGTATATCTTTTTTAGCCTAGCATCACAAAACCAAACAATTACAGGGGCAAGGCAGATAAAATAAAGGCTGGCAGGATAGGAACAAGGGTCATCTCCTAAGGGGCTCAGACCATTGTTAGAATAGAAATGTGGATCCAGTGTTGTTATATAGGATTTTTTTTTTTTTTCAAGAGAAGGTGGAAACAGGGCTTTTTATAGGAAACCTTCACCTTTTAAATGCTCATAAATTAACCGTGCCAGCCAGTGGAGACCTCCAGGCTGCCAACTCTCAAACTGACTTGACTTCCAAAGTACAGCCCTGGATGTTTAAAGGTTAACATAAATGGCATTAGGGGTAGGTTCTAGGATTTAGCGGTCACTTCTAATGTGCACTCCTAGGAAGAGAAGGCGGCAGAACAGGTGGGGGTTACAAACATCTCTCTTTTACCGACATTTAAGAGTAGGTTTCTCAATTCCTGTGGGGAATGGCTTTGGAAGAGCTGGTCCGTTTGGAGACTGCTCTAAGCCGGAGTCTGTAGATTTTCTACGCACCATCTGGTTCTTGATTTTGAAGGAGAACAGTAACAAGGGAAATTATAGAACTTGGTCTTTGAGAGCTCAGGAAGAGAGTAAGATCTCTGGAGCATCATGATGCCCATAATGATTTTTTAAAAAAGGGTTAGGGGCCCAGGGGAAGGCTACTATTAGAGCAAGTAGTTGGGGCCTAATTTTTGCAATATTTATAGAGAGTAGATTTGATCTAGACAGTTCTCCACTTCCATACCTTCCCCGTTTGTTTAGGAAGTATAATAGAAAGATGTGTTTTTTTGCTCACAAAAACCTCTCTGGGTAGCACAGCGGACCTGTTGACAAATGAACTACATCATGCCATTTTTGGCATGAATACCCTGGTTTTATCTGACTGGAGGGGCCTGAGCCCAGGGCTGGAAACCCAACTTCAGGCTGGCCAGGGAGCATCACCGTGAGACTTTGGCTGGGGGCTAACCTGAGCTTCTGGAGACTTGTGGAAGTCAACATAAGAGGGGAACTCAGCCAAAGGACGAGAAAACGGCCCACAACACTGGTAGATGTTTTGAATGACGGGCTTTAGGCATGGAATGAGCTGGAAACAGTCCCCCATTCTCCCCTTTAAGGTAGTTGTATTGGGTTTCTGGTATTTGGTGACCTTGCTGGCTACACTCATGATTTAACACCAAGACCATAATGCCCACCAGCCATGTAAATGGACTTGGTTTCTGAGGTAAGGGTAGGAAAAGAGATTCCAAAATATATGTACTTGCTTGATGGAAGGGCCCTGTATTTTCAGTGGCTTCTTAACCTTGTTACAATGAATGGAATCAGCCACTTTTCATTACCTACGAGCTGGTTTACCCTCGATAGGTAGGCAGGACTGGCCAAATGTAAACATTTGCTCGTCATGAATGTTACTGTCTGTTGATTGTACATTCTCTGCTTTGCAGGGATGTATATTAATTCCATACAGCAATTAGGAGACCAAAAAAGTCCCTACATAGGTCTTTCTTTTTAAAAAAAATCTGTTTATAAAAAATCTTTGTTTCAACAGGAATACGATAAATAGTTATTTGCATACCTCGTTACAGAAGTTTATATGGGGGCTGAGGGTGGGTGCGGTTGACCTAATTTGGAATTCAGGTCTTTTTTCCTCTAGAAATACCTTTATCTCCTGGACTAGACTGGATTAAAACACACTGGATTAAACATATCTGCATTTATGTTCTTTTTCATTAATATTTGCTGGAGTTTAGCATTTAAATATGAAGGCTACAGCCTCCCTGTAATTACAATTCCATATCACCACATGTATTCTGTGTTGCTTTTATTTAATGAAAAAACTAATTTCAAATCTACATTAAGCTAAGCTGAATAACAAAGTCTTAGTGAAGGAGGCCTGGTGGGTGGTCTTGTTTGTAAAAACATGGCTACTGTCCTTTGGCCTTAAAACTTCAGGAAAGGCACTTCAAACGGCTTCGTGTTTGCATGTTTCAGTGCCAGAGCATAGGAATAGACCCTGGCGTCCACTGTCACATGTTCTTCAGCTACCAGAGCTACAGGAAGCAAAGAATACAAGTTAGATAATGAAGAGAATAAAGGAGAATACCCCTTATCAATCAATCAATACAGACTGAGCTCCTACTATGTGCCGGTTACAATGCTAGATAGAGATACAGCAGTGAACAGGACCCCTTCTGCCTTCAAGGACCTTGCTCTAGTCAGAAGAGAAAAGGATATATAAGCAGGATTACATTTCCAGCAAAAGACCAGAACAAGAAGAAAGAATAAAGGCAGAAGATCACACATATCAGAGGTGAGGACTTGATGCGTTAAAACAGCAAAGCTGTAAGTCTATAGATGCAAATCACTACTTCTTTTAGAGTGCACTCTAGAGCGCTGCTGTGGTGACCCTTCAGTGCCTTATCTCGGGATTCGTGCGTCCTCTCTGCTGCCAGACAGCACCGATTTTCCGCCTACAAGTTCAGCCGCGTGCACGACAGGACTGGAATTCTAGAGAATTCCAGAACAAGGCTGCGGGAGTGTACGTCGTACCATGGGCTTTGAGGGGAACTTCTGTTTTGTTCAGGTGGAGGTTATCGGACCTGGAATCTGTCACTGGTTCTCCCAGCCACTAGTTTAGGCGCAAGCTCAGAGACTCGTTGATCCCGGAAGGGAGGCTGGCGTCCTACTCCTCTGTGCAGGGCGGGGGCTGGGGAAGTGCTGAAAGCTATTCTGTGTAACCAACCGAACTCTGGATACTTTCCTCCCAATCTCTCAAATGTGACTTGTTGAATAAATGGTGTGATTACTATATTTCCAACCTAATAAAGCTAGGAGAACTGGTTCTTTCCCCCCTTCCTCCTCCTGTAGATCTGTCCCCGTCTACCTTCCTTCCTCCCTCTCTCGCACTATGTACTGCCCCCTCTTCCGAGCCTAGATCCAGGGAGGTTAAGTTAGATGGAAGGGAGAAGGACGTTCTTTAAAAGAATACTTCTCTAATATAAAAATGCAGTAAAGACATATAGCATCTAACATTTAAGTCCTTTTGTGCTCACGCCTCCCAGAGACAGGGGAGAGACAGACCTCTCGTTCCTGTTTCAGGAGAAAAGCCGGCAGAGGCTGTGGCACGTGTTCAAGGTCGTAACCCATACACGGCGGAACCTCAGACCCAGTCAGACCTGACAGACTCAAAGATGTGTGGCCCCTTACTGGCAGCCACAGCTCTCTGAGGAAACTAGGGCTTTCTCCAGTATGAGCACTTCTCATTCGGACTGAGATCTTGAGGTACTTGTTACCTTAGGTCTAGTTTTTAAAAAGGCAAAGCAGGAAGGGAAGCTTTCTAGGAATCTGAATCACAGTAGTTCTTGGAAGCTCATATTTACTTTTAATTAATTAATTTATGGATTTACATGTATTTTTGACAGAGCCAGAGCACGAGTGGGGGACCGGCAAAGAGAGAGAGAGAGAGAGAGAGAGAGAGAGAGAATCCGAAGTAGCTCCAGGCTCTGAGCTGTCAGCATAGAGCCCGATGTGGGGCTCGAACCCACAGACAGTGAGATCATGACCTGAGCTGAAGTCAGACGTTTAGCCAACTGAGCCACCCAGGCGCCCCTCATACTTACTTTTAAAACAAGAGAGTCATTAGAAATAAAATTGTAAGCCACTGGTACTTACGGAAGGGGAGGAAGAGACAGCCCTCAAAGCCTCAGGTCAAATTGTGCTTCAAGTTAATTTTTGAAGTAAAAACTTTAAAACATTCAAGTCATGACGACTGTCTGTTCCTTTACAAAGGAGTGATCGGGGACTTAGCAGCCAGCATGGAGGAGCTCCCCTGAAGGGTCTCTGTCACGCTCCAGTACAGCCTATCCTAATCTGCCCACATAGGCTTACTGAATTTTTTACAAAATCCCTAGGAGATGGGCTGGCCAGAAAGTACACAATGTAATTTCATGACCAGTAATTTACTAGGGGTGACGCGGTTAGTTTGGTTCACTATATCAGCATGTTGCTCTTTGTATATAGCAGATACCTCAGTCTTTGTAGAAAGAATATTGTTAAATTCTCCTATAACTTCTACCCTGCACGAAGTACCATCCAACATGCTAGCATTTTTGAGGATCAGCTAAGAGATACCTACTTAGGCCTCTTCAGTGCCATGGATTAGCGACATGAGGTACAGAAGTTTTGGCTAATCTGAAGGAATATAGTTTTGGCTATTCTATAGAAAAAAAATCCCATTGAAAGCCTTCAACTTGACAGAGAATGTTTTGCTCATATTTTCAAACTCAGTGCCACACAGAAAAGAAAATTATTGTTGGTTAACTGCAGTTCTCCAACATTTCTAGGTATTTGGCTTTAACGAGGAAGAATATAAAGAAATGGAATTATACTTCGTTCCTCACTGAATGGGACTGGGGACGGGGAAAACTGAGAAAGCTGGCAGTCTTAAGAATGCTTACCATCAAGTCTCTTCAGCAGGTCATTCTTTGGTAAGGAAATTACTTCAACAAATTCTAAACAAAGAAAGTGCAAGTGAAAACAAAGCTCCAGAATAAGAGAGCCTACCAGAACGCCACAACATGCCTGTAGCCATTTCCACTGCGCTAAGCCATACGCACGTCAGCCACTGCTGAGTTGGGTGACGTACCTCCATCTCCTGAAAAGAAACAGAAGGAGGACATTGCAGCAAGGCCTGCTCTGGTCAAACACTGGAAGAGGTTAGTGCAAGACATACCGAAAAGGGTCTGAGACTTCAACAGAGACCTGGGTCTCTACTAATCCAATCTATGTACCTTAGATTCTGTGTGTGATCTATGGAGAATCAGATTCTATAGATTCTATTAGAATCTATGTAAAAAACATTCCAACAGTACAGAATTTGTTCTCCAGATCAAATGCTTAATAGCCAAATTGAAAGCATACTCTATGATAACACACACAGGTATTTTTAAGTTGTTAAAGTATATAAAATTTACCATTTTAACCATTTTTCTAGTGTTTATTTTTGAGAGAGAGCAAGAGAGAGCAGGGGAGGGGCAGAGAGAGAGGGAGACACAGAATCCGAAGCAGGCTCCAGGCTCTGAGCCGTCAGCACACAGCCCGACGCGGGGCTTGAACCCGTGAACCATGAGATCATGACCTGAGCTGAAGTTAGACGTTCAATCGACTGAGCCACCCAGGTGCCCATTAACCATTTTTGAAAATACAATTTAAAGGCATTAAATACATTCACAGTGTTGTGTAGTTATCAGCACTATCCTTCTCCAGAACCTTTTCAGCATCCCAAACAGAAACTCGGTGCCCATTAGTTTACTTTCTGTTTCTATGAATATTTTAGGTAACCTCATATGAGTGGAACCACAATATTTACACTTGAAATTTTTTTTTTCTTAAGTAAAGTCTACACTCAAATGTGGGGCCTGAACTCACACCCCCCAGATGTGACCGAGCCAGCCAGGGGCCCCTATTTACGCTTTTTTGTCTGGCTTCCCGAAGCACTCGGCGCGACATTATCAATAGTCACCCTACCACCGCAGGCACCAGCGTGTTTCTCTAACGGCTGGATGGTATTCCACGGGGCATGTACACCACATTTTGTGGGTCCACTCATCTGCTAGTGGACACTTGGGTGGCGTCCACCTTTTGGGGACTGTGCTGCTGACACTGGTGTGCAAGTCCCTACATGAGCTTTGTGCTTTGGGGTATAAACCTCCGAGGGGACTTGATACGGTGGTTCTGTTCACCTCTGAGGACTGGCAGGCTGCTTCACAGCACGTTAGGTGCCTACCTGCGAGTTTGAACACCGAACATTTAAAATCAGCTGTGATGGGCCCTGACACATTCAGGAGCCACCGAGGTGATGAGAAACGAAGAACATGGCTGTGCTACCTGACACCCCCTTTAACGGGGTGGGAGACGACAGGGAACTGACAGAAGCATCAAAGCTGGAGCCCAAACTTGCTAAGAAATCTAACAGAGCAAGGAAGTTCTTAAACGTTTCTCTAAGTACGGAACTCAGTGATAAGTACTTCTGCCATTCTTATAATACACACAAAGACACACATCTGTGATTCTGAAGGTGTTCACTGTTTCCTCTTCAGACCTCAGGCTCATAATCCTAAGTGGGAATAAACCCCATACAGAAGATAGGGAAATGTGAGAATTTAACATTTGTAAAGAACACCTAAAAATCAGTTAAGAGTTAAAAATGCTACAGGACCCACGATGAGCAAAACAGCCCAGAGTACTGAAGTATCTAGAACCCTGTTCCTCTTCTCACAAATCAAAAACCAAGGCAGTAGCAAGTTAACCAATCATCAGTGCGACAGAACCACCTTAACCGCAGCTGGTGCACACTCACCTGGCTTTGGCTTAGGCCTCACGTTTTCAGCATCATCTCCGTTGATAGTTACCGTCACGATGTGTGTGGTACAGTTTGTCAAGCCCGGATCCATACATACAGCTGTGGAGAGAAGCAAACGCTCAAGTTCAGACACCGGTCCGACACGACACGTTTCATTACTTAAATGCCTTCGGAAGGAAACCGGGCTCATGATTCACAGTGCCCACGGAGCCCATGCGGGAAAACTACACTCGGCCCAATGCACTCAGTATACGCTGTGGGACAGCACAACATACGTGTTTCCCTCCAGAGTTCCTGGGTTAAGTGCGCTAAGTCTGGGGGTGAGACGGTGCTGACATGTTGTCAGGTCCTTTCACCACATTGAGAAAAAAAAATCTAGTGAGGAGCCTGGCACGTGGATGAGGTAATAAAGCTCAGGATCTGAGAAACTCTGGAAGGTAAGCGAATTTCCCATCTCTTCTCCAGCTTCAGGGCCTCCTTGTTCAAACCTGCCCTCGTGTGGAGAGAGACTCGCCTGTAGACAGTGACCGAACCTAGTTAGGATTTCTCCTCCGTGGATGAGCCTCAACGCAAGATCCTTTACACCATGCACAGTGTAATGGCTGGCTAATTTTCAAGGGTCTGTCCCCAAGCGCACGTCCGGAGAGCAGTACAAACCTGGAGAGCACTCTGCCACATCACCTTTGTAGCCAGTTTCTTCCTCAAGTTCCCGAAGAGCTGCTGCTTCCGGGCTTTCGTTATCATCGATGAGACCTGGAAGTCCAAATCCTTTGTGAGGTGCGACAGGGAAACCCTCTCCTGACGTACTGCTGGGAGCTACGCGAGGAATCAGAGGACTGTGGGAAGCGGTTGCACAGGTGACACTGACTGAGGCTTGGAACTTTTCTAAGAGAAAAGGCAGGGACGCCTGGGTGGCTCCGTCGGTTGCACGTCCGACCTTTGATTTCAGCTCAGGTCATGAGATTTCAGCCCCACGTCATGCTCAGCACTGGGCATGGAGCCTACTTGGGATTCTCTCTCTCCCTCTCCCTCTGTCCTTCCCTTCCTCACGTGCTCACCCTCTCTCTCTTTAGAAAAGAAGAAAAAAAAGCAAAAGAATAAAACTGCAGGCAGAGTAAGTAGGTTCTGACAGCTGTTCCTCTTATTCAGACCTCGACTGTTCCCGTGGGCATCTCTGCAGCACAGACAGCGTGGACCCGTGAGGAGAGCTGGCTTGGTGCTGCTGTTGGCCCCCTGGCGCGGCTCACGGACCCGGCTCTGTGGCATGGCCCAGGAAGCCTGTCATTCTTTTCCGTTTTCCTCATGTGACCCTGTCACCTATCTTGCTTTCCTCCCTTGCAGAGCAATACTGAGGCCGCAGAGAAATGCCCGGATGAGGATCACCTGTGAGGAGGACGTAAGACTGGCGGACTGGGGGCAGGGGCCGTGCTCAGAGCCCGCAGTAACCAGGGAGGCCAAGTGGGGAGGACGGTAGAACTTGATTATTTCACAGACCCTCGCCTCGCTTTGGGGGGTCAGTGCATCAAAGAGTGCATTTGAGGGATGTTTTTTTTTTCTTTAAAACTTAAAACCGCCGAGACACATAAAAAGGTGTTAAATGTCCAAGCACTGCTGTTCTGGCTGTTCTAGGTGCTCGGCCCAGCCGTTAGGGACTCACCTGCAGGGAATTCTAGGCAATAGCCTCCCATGGGCGGTCGGAACTGCTTCACCAGAACGATGCACTCGTAATGAAGTGTCCGCTGCAGCACTGGGATGACCGCCACACCTGTGACCAGGAGATAAAACCAAGGAGGTCCCTCACGAAAGGTCAGGGAGTACTTGGCACAGGGTCAAGGACCAAATTCCTGCCTACGCTAACCTCTGCCGAGACCTATTTCTCAACCTGCAGCAGCCAGGCCGTTTTCACTGATCTACGTGTGCTTGTATTTTCTTTCAGCAGTAAATGGAGTCAGTCCCAGTGTTTGTAGTAGATGCTAAGTTAGAGTCTATTGTTTTAGGATAAAGGACCTTTTCTCCCAAGAGAGAAATATTTTACTTACAACAGAACACAGACAAAACCCCAGTGCGTTCTGGAAAACACAAATTGCCCACAAGTAGTTCTTGGCTACCTCCCTCCACCCAACTCTCCCGGCAGACCAAAACAGCAGCTGTGGCAGCTACTCTGTTTACTTCCACTAAAAAGAGAACAAGATGAAAGGGAGGAATGAAAGGGAAAAACAAAGACCTATTGCCCACTTCCCCCAGAGCACAGGTGATTCTCAGGATCTTTGCAGTCAGTGCATTTATGCCTAGAAGGGAATGTGAACTGAATGGATAGTCTCTTCTCCTAATTCCGCATCCTTCTCAATTTATAAAGCAACTGGTCCATCATAAAGTAGTGCCAAATATTTTTCCAAACGAAAGGCTCTCACCTAGGTCCTTTGAACAGAACACAGGATTTCTAGAAGTCCTATCTAGATGCAGTATGTGGCTTCAAATTATACTGACTTCTGTTTGGCTATAAATATTAGTATACCTTTCCCTCAAAAACACTGGGACTGAAGCCAGAAGTTATTTACAGAGAAAGCCTGATTTAGCCACAAAGCACTGCAAAAAGGAATACCAGACTTAAACATAAAAGACCATAATCGAAGAGAGCTGCTCTGAGGTCTGGGTTAAAGTAAAAAGAACCCCGCCTCTTGCAGTAAAGCACGGTGACTTCCTCCATGAAGAGTCGTAAGGGGTTTGCACTCCTACCATCGGCCGACTGCCCCTTCCTGGTCGTACGTTTCACCGTTTCCCACGTTCTGTTCAGGCAGAGAAGCAAAAACAAAATCACTAATGTCACAGAGGAGAATGCCCTTGGGTTTTCAGTCCACAACCAGAACTTTACAAATGCGAAGCATGCGAGTGTAATAATGATAATGGCCAAGGAGACCACGACAGTACAGATCTATATGGGAAAAGCCAATTCCATCGTGCTTTCCTGTAGCTTCTGAAACTTCTTCTGAAGAAAACGTGCCACCCTACGCCTGACCCTCTGAGCGCTATCTAAACAGAAGGCCTACTGATCGCTTGAGCTGCCTTTCAGATCATTCACTGGGAAGATTTCAGTTTGATCCTAAATCTACAGGTTAGCAGTAAATGAAAGTATTGAACAGTCTGTGCAAATTAAGCTCCTAGGAGAATTCCAGCCTTTCGCTAAGAGGAAAAGATACTCTGCAGAATAGGAACCACTGAGACAGTTATTTATATGTGACCTAAATAACAATTTTACAAAGCAGGGCCGTCCCATTTACTAATTTGAAGAATTATTACATTTAGGTGAGTGCTCTAGTTTGCACGTGTGAGATCTCTCTTATCTGAGGGGGAAATGGTCCAGAGTGGAGAAAGTGAGATGAGGAATGGTAGGTTTCTGCTCCCTTTTATGGCTTTATTCCCGATGGGCTGTTTGTTTCTGGGGAACAGCGTCCCGAGAATCCGGTTACTGGTACAATGCTGTCTGAAGGGGAAGGACATATGAGGCAAAGTCCCCTTCACTCTCTTCTCCCTTGAACTGGAAAGAAGCAGTGGTAAGAAATGAAAGTGGAGAAGTTCAGCTTTGGATCTGAGTGGCTCTGGGGACCGGAGTAAGGAAGGCGTCAACATCCGCCTCCCTCCAGAAGAGCAGGAATGATGAGACGGGCCATGTGGGGGGAGCCTCGCACTTTTTATCTGGCTGGGTTGGACTGTGTCACGTTTCTGTGAAAGAAATCCCGGTATTTAGTCTAGTTAAAAAAACCCAAAAAACACCTTTCTGTAAACTGTAGATCTCTCAATATTATAGCCAAATTCAAGCAGCGAGTGTGTCAAAATGAACCTGTGGAAGCCAAACGCTGCTGTGACGACTCACAACCGTCCGACATTCCTGTTAGTAACAAGAAGCCAACCAACAAGCAACTCTGGTAAGTAAATAGTACAGATGGCAAGAGACGAAAACCTTTTCAGCTCTCTGTGCCACCCCTCAGGGTTAGTCCTAAAGACTGAAGAAGGCAGTGCTGGGAGGAGCCGTGAAGGCGCCATCCCAGATACTCTAGGAATAAGGGAAACAAAAGAGCAGCATGGTTATGGTTAAGATGATGTAAAATAACCAGTAACGAGCCATACATCGTGAACCATGAAATATAAACGCATTTACACGGGATCCTAGAACAGGGATGCCCCATGGGAGCTCCGGTCATCTTCAAGGGACTCTGAAAGATGAGCGTCTGACCGAGTCAGACAATCTCAGTCTCCATCTGCCTACCAGCTGAGCGCACAGCCACACATCCCGTGAGACCGTTCCCTCCGGTGTAAAACTAGGGAATTACGAGTATGTTAGCTCAAAAGCCTCTTGTGGCGTTAGAATTCTGATTCTAGTTAAGCGACTCCGTTTTCTGAGAAACTGTCATAGGAGAAAGCTTGCTCTGCGTTCCTCCCCTGGTCAACAAACGCAGGAGGCAGGAAGGGCACCGAAGGATGACTTCAGCTCTGTCCCGATGTCCATCAGGGGGCACACTGCCAGCATAGGTTTACACTACTAGACTCAACTCCGTATCCGTATCCATGAATAACATGGTAGAACAAAGGATTTTCTAGCTGCTCTCATCCTTACCGACATGCTTTTGCATCAGGTAACAGATAAAACATTTTATGAGTTTATACGTCATGACCTATGGCAAAGCACAGGGATTCCCTCTTCAAAGCCTGACACTCCGGTAGAAATGTCAGTGCTTTGCCTACGAGCTCCCTGGAGTTCACGAGGAAGACCTACGCGTGCAAGAAAGGAGGTGAACATGCTATAAGCAGGCCACATAAGCAGGTACTCGCTAGGCTTTTCAGTGCATGCCTCAGCTACTCAAACAGACTCCCCGGAAGTGAGACCTGGACACGAGTATCCCGAAAAGAGTCTCCACGTGATTCTGATGCACGTCCCTGATTAAGAAATGCTGAAGGAGGAAGAGGAGTCCAGTGAAGAGATGCACCACCGGTGCAAACCAACACGTACTCTTTAATTAGTGTTAAGAGGCATATTTGTGTTATAAACCTTAACAGCTTAACGGGTAAAAGAGAGCCAAGCTGTATCACTACAAACTGGTTGCCAATCTACGCTTTCACAAACATCAGTCCATTTGAACATACTGTGTTCCTTCAGGCTCGGGCCTGGCCACATTTCTGTATTGTATTCCTGTCCCCACTATTTATTTCCTGTTTAGTTCTGCACATCAGTCTCTTTAAACAAGTGTTCTGCCGAAGGCAGAACATACACTGTGTTGACGGGCGGTAGCATGGTTGGCTTTCTCGCTTTGAGGTTTTAATTTAAGAGTGCTATGGATAGCTTGATGTTTCCCACAGCTCTCCAACACTGGCCCTTAGGAATATTTTTGCTAGTTTAGCAGAGATAATTAAAGTGCTTTCAATTACTGGCAAGTCCATGTACTTCCATGCTGATGACAGAAGTATTTCCTCATGAAGAAACTCTGTATTCTCATTTGATCACTTAGCAAATGGAGGTTTTTTTTTTTTAATGAATCGATATATCATGTAATCTGGATACTTTATTTTTTTTTTTAAATTTTTTTTTTTTCAACGTTTATTTATTTTTGGGACAGAGAGAGACAGAGCATGAACGGGGGAGGGGCAGAGAGAGAGGGAGACACAGAATCGGAAACAGGCTCCAGGCTCTGAGCCATCAGCCCAGAGCCCGATGCGGGGCTCGAACTCACGGAGCGCGAGATCGTGACCTGGCTGAAGTCGGACGCTTAACCGACTGCGCCACCCAGGCGCCCCTGGATACTTTAATATTTAGTTACATTTTTATATTTTCTCATTCTATCTCATTCTTTTTCATATTTCACTAGGGAAATGTTTAATCTATTTTAACACTTTTTTTCCTGATAGTTAATTATAATTTTCAAAAAATTTCTTTTCAGGGCAGTGACAGGGGCTGAAAGAAAAAATTCTAAGCAGAAAACGTGGAAAACAGAAGAAAACAGGTTTACCACACAGATGCCATTAATGTTTTGCCAATTTTCCTTCTAGCCTTTTCTTATATATTATTTGGAAAGAATTTAAAAAGCATATACACAATTTCCTATTTTATCAACTTAATAACTTTTCTTAACTTGCTAGATTGTCTTCAGAATCTGCTTTGTAGATAACTGCATAGATTTTACCAAATGAATACACTAAAATTTCCCCATTTTTAAACTGAGAATTGACATACAATATTGTATCTGATGTGTACAACATAGTCACTCAAGTTATATACATTACAAGTCACCACAGTAAATGTAGTAACCATCTGTCACCCTACAGAGTTGTTATAATATCATTGACTGTATGCCTTCATACTGTACATATTCTTATATCATGCTACACTGTAACAATTATTTCCCCATTTTTAAGATGGTTAGGGTGCTTTCGATTTGTTTTTATTTTTTTAATTTTGTGAACATTTTTCATGCATAAATCTGACTCCAAACAGTCTCAGGAGTGGGATTACTTGGATTGAAGGGTGTTATATCTTTACGAGCAACTGGTACATACTGTGAAATGTTTTGCAAAACTTTTTTTCTTTTTTTCCAATTTACGTTTCCATGAGCAAGGTGTAAAGCATGTAAGTTTTACCTCAAACCCAGCAATGTTCTCTCCTTCATCCTAATTTAGAAATTAAAACCTGGTATGATTCGGACGAGGCAATCTGGATTGTTAATTACTTTGCTGCTTTATTGGCTTCGATGGGGCTCGGACCAAAATTTCAGGTTCATACTAATCTACTCAGGGAGAATGGTGTTGAAATCAATTCCTGATTAGTTAATGTAACAAATTTACAATGTGATTGTATTCCGAGATGAGAAGTGATCCAAACATTCTGGGAGTGGGAAAATACTGAATTAGATTTCTCATTTAAGATCGAGTTTACAATAAGAAAAGTGTCAGAGTTCATGTCAAACAGTAAGCGGAGACCCCGAGAACCAGAATACTGAGCATTTTACAAAAGGGAAAAAAATCATTTACCTTATTTTACCAGTAGGATCCATGTACGTTGTTTTTTCAAGCTTGACCCATTTTCCTTCTGAAATTAACTAAAAGGAGACAATAAGTTGGGAGGCTTTTAAACCGAGGATTTTATTTAGAAGGTGTGTTTTCTTTCAGATTTTCTCTGTGTGGCCCTCCCAGGGATCACGTTTCCCTCCCAATAATTAGTGCAGGTTTTCAGTTCGAAGTATGGAAAGCTATCTTCCTGAAGGGTGGTTCTGCTTCTTTTTGGAGTTTTGGAAGTAATACTGAGAGGTGAAAAGAGATGATAGTTGAAAAAATCCTGGCGGCGGG